GTTACAACTTGTGGGTTAACTCGGCACATCACGGGTTCTGACAGTTTTTTATGCGAGTCAATTTTCAACTCGATTTATTTAAACCTAGCTCATCCGAGTTGAACGCGTGGTGAGTTGGACTGGCTTACCAACCCACCTAATTTTATTTTATTAATTTATTATCTTATGAAACCCTAAAAAATAATTTCTTCACTCTGCTTTCGTGAATCTGTTATACTCTTAGAGTGGTCTCACTTTACTGTTGATGATCCCCAACTCCCAACCCCCAACCCAAGTTAGTTGTTATCAATTGCATCATATTGTATTTGGAAAACTCCTTATACTTCTCAAGACCCCGATCAAGCACACAGTCTTAACAATTTCAACTACTATAGTTTTATCGGGATTTACTCTAAAACAGTAATAACTACATTCATGAAAATAGTTACTAGCATTCTGAAAATCGGAATGCACTGCTCGTTCTCCGAACATGTCGCGTAAAGAGAATTTATCCCTTGACCTATTGCGTTACCGCATAGCAAGCAAACACCTTTTCCTCAAAAACCTTAATGAAATCTCTTACTTCAAAAATTGAAAGCAACAAGTAGCAAAAAGAGAAATTGAAATTAAAAAACATATATTAAAGGTGAAATCAAAATAGAGGAATCTATTATTTCTTGATGTTGGGTTGCAAAATGTTTGTAATTTTAATTTTTTATTTTAAAAAATATAATTAAGTAAGTCATTGAGTCACTCGTTTAACTCACTAACCCGTGGTGGGTCGAATCAGATTCAAATTTTTCTGGTTGGTTTTGAGTTGGTTTGGCTCATTAATTTTTAAAGGGAGTTCTTTCTTGAAATAACCAATTTAGTATCTGGTTGGGTAACAAAAAATTAATAAATATTTTTAATGTATTTACACTTTAATTATTAAAGATTATAATCGTGGTCTTATTCATTTTCAGAAAGTGTAAGATTTTACATAATAGTTTTAGTGTGATTTTGGACACGATCGTGAGATAAATTTGAAACCAAAATGTTTAAAAATAAATTTTGAATCTATGATGGAAGCATATATTGCGCCATTACCTTATCTTTATTAAAGGTAACTTTTTATTCTTTACAATATAAATATGAATTAATGAAGAAACCAAAAGAAATCACATGAATTAACAAAGAAGACCACATAATTAACAAAGAAGACCAAATAATTAACAATTTTTTTAAAAAATTATAAAATTATTCTTTTAAGATTTGATATTCAAACACTTAATTTTTTTAAGTTTTCATAAATTAATATGAATATCATTATCAAAATTTAAAAACTCATAATAAAAAATACTTGTCATATATTATTATTCTTCATTGTTTTGTTATTATTTTATATATATATATATATATATATATATATATATATATATATATATATATATCACATAATACATATATAAATGTAATTGAAATTATTATTTATAATTGTTTCGGTAAATATTTTCGGGACCGAGAGACTGACCTCTTGACGTGTCTGAACCGCTTGCCTTCCTCCAATAGCTTGCTTTTCTTTAGCCTGAACTGTTCGGTCACCTTCAATCTCTTTCTGTTGCCCGATCGGTATTCGTGTGAACTGATCGATCTCCTTCTGGACGACGGGGGATGCACCTGCAAAAGGCACTCTGACGCTCAAGTTAGGCGTGTTGTTGAAGAGTTTTTGCTCTTAAGGGAATACTCGGTGAAGGATTAACACTGTTTGCGTATTTTTAGAGTAGTAGAGCGTGAATCTAGCATATGAATAATGCGTAAGTAGAACCTACCTTTTTTGGCTCTGTCAATGTATTTATAAGCGTTTCATAGATCCAATAAAAATAACCTTACCTGGAGATCGGTTGGTTACCCAAAAACGGCTTTATCAATATCTTAAACCAAATATTTTGGATTTGGTTTATCAAATATCTTTGACTAGATATCTTTAATTATTTTATAATCCCCTGGACTGTTAGCCCAATCATTTCGAGTAGCTTATTGGCACCGTAGGCCCAATTGCGGCCCAAACCATTTGACCAGGCTGACTAATGGCGGATAGACTGATCGACCTTATTTCATGACCGCTCGGTCAATATTTCATACGGTACATCATGTCCCCCAAGTCCGAGTGTAATCGTTTGACTTTTAGCCTTGATTAGCTATAGGACTTATGAGTTTGAGGGAGGCTGTGTTTGTTGTACTAGAGAGCTTCTGCCGCTCTTATTAGTGGTTGAGTAGAGCTCTTTTTAGAACTTTTTCCTTATGCAGTTGTGCAACCAACAGTGCATGTTACCTGTACTAAAGAGGAAAAATAATCGAATTTGAAGTTAAAGAAAGTATATGGTTATACCATGTAAGCTAGACCTGTCGGTTGAGTATGGTCGATGATGATCGTCCCACCTGCTTGACCGTTCAGCTGAGGATGGTCGATAATGATTGTCCCACCCGATTCGATTATCCAAGTTTTTTAGGCTACTGGATAGAATGACCGTTTGGCTACTTCGACTATCCAGGTTTTTTAGGCTTCTGGATAGAATGACCGTTCGGTTGCTTCGACTATCCAGGTTTTTTAGGCTACTGGATAGAATGACCGTTCGGCTACTTCAACTATCCAGGTTTTTTAGGCTACTGGATAGAATGACCGTTCGGCTGCTTCAACTATCTAGGTTTTTAAGGCTACTGGATAGAATGATCGTTCGACTACTTCGACTATCCAGGTTTTTTAGGCTACTGGATAGAATGACCGTTCGGATGCTTCGACTATCCAGGTTTTTTAGGCTACTGGATAGAATGACCGTTCGACTACTTCGACTATCCAAGTTTTTTAGGCTACAGGATAGAATGACTTTTCGGCTGCGGATGGTCGGTGTTGATCGTCCCACCTGCTTCGACTATCTAGGTTTTTTAGGCTACTAGTTGTAAATGACCGCTCGACTGAGGATGGTCGGCGATGATCGTCCCACCCGCTTGGTGTTTTACCGGTAGTTGCGTTATGCTTGTGGTCGTTTGTTGAGAGCCTGTTCGGCCTTTGTATGCAAGATGTGATTATCTGCACTGTAAAATGAGAAAAAGAGTAGCCAAACAAATCAATGCATTTACAAGGTTAGACAATTAATATTAAAAATAGATTATGCTATAAGGCCGATCAGCCGAAAGAGTAAGACTGGTTGGTCTTCGGTTGATTGTTTGGAGACCAAAATTTGAAATTCATACTAGGATGAACTTGTAATTGCTTTAGCGCCTTGTAACCTGTAAGATAATATCAAAAATATAAACGAGGTCGTTCGGTCTTTGTACATGCCTTTTTCAGTCCAAGACTATTAAGCTTTATTTATCCCTATTTGATGATAGAGCATTCGGTCCGTTTTATAAGGCCAGATTAAATTCTACAAAGAACGTTTGCGACTGTTCGGCTTTGACGTAGGAGTTCTTCCTAGAGAACAAAATTTACCGTTTGGCTTTGCACTAGGAGTTCTTGGAGAACGTCCTAGTGAGAGGACTTTACCTCTCAGCTTATGCACTTCTTTTGGCCAAGTGGTATGCAGGATCCTATCATCTATACTTGAAGAAAAATAATAGTTCGAATTGGAATGGTTAGAAAAAATGTACATAATCAAAAGTTGAGATAGTTATTTTCAAAGTAGCTTATGCAATAAGGTCAGACAGACAAGCCAGTAAGACTGCTCGGTCTAGGATTGATTCATATTAGGATGTGCTCTGGATGAGTGTGTAGGTATTTTAATGCCTTGTGACCGATCGGTAAAGAAATCATGGTCTCATTGGGCTATGCCAGTAGTAATTTTCTGCACAAACTGAGGCTATGGAAGGCCGATTAACTGAGGCCGAAGGGCCGAACACCTGTGAGGTCGAACTGCCGAATGCTTGAATACTTGAGGCCATGGATGACCCAGCGGTTGAGGTCGGGTGACCGAACACTTATAATGCCAAATGACCGAATGTTGGAACGCTTGAGGCCATGGAAAGCCGAACGGTTGACTACGTGCAAGGTCGAATGGCTGAATACATTGGCCTGTGAGGCTGAATGGTTGAACCTATGAGGCCGAATGATTGAACACCTGTGAGGCCGAACGCTTGAATACCTGTGCGCCCGAACAGTGTAACTTATGAGACTGGACGGTTGAATACTTGTGAGGCTGAACGGTTGAATACCTAAGGTTGAATAGTTGAGTACATGCAAGGCCGAATGGCTAAATACATGGGAGGCCGAACGGTTGAACCTGAGAGGCCGAACGGTTGACTACGTGCAAGGCCGAATGGCTAAATACATGGGAGGCCTAACGGTTGAACCTGTGAGGCTGAACGGTTGAACTTGTGAGGCCGAACAGTTGACTACGTTCAAGGTCGAGTGGTTGAATTATTGATCAACACTTTGACTCTTCTTCAGAGTAGAATTAAGATCAATTTCCTTTCGGGGTTTCTTATAATGCCACCTTGTTGGATTATTTACTACACTGAAAATTTTCAATGGGCTGCACTTGATGATGTGGACCTTCTTACTGATGAAAGTGCAGTGTGGCCACGGAAATCAATAGTGGCATCTGCGGTATAACTCTTATCACGCTCCTGATCAAATGAGATAGTGGCAATGTAAGGTTTTGCCCTTGCTTGTTTCTTAGGTGGATGACGCGAAGGTATAACTGAACGGCGCGACAGATGACGGAGTGATGGTGTGGCGAGGTCTCAATGATTACACAAGGACGATGGTTGTTCTAATTTGCGGCACAAGTTTCCTTCTCCTCCTTCTTCAAGAATGGCAAATTTAGGGTTTCAGGTTCTCAACAAATTTTTGGGTTTATGTTTTCAGGGATTTCTGGTGTGATTGAAATTGGGGCTTTGATCTTGTTTTTCTTTCGCGATTAGCGATTATGGACTTTTGGTTTTTTGGGTTTTCTCTTAATTCATGATGGAGGGTTTCTTTCTCGTGGTGGCGGTTGTGGTGGTTTCCCTTGAGAGCATCCTTTGTGAATACAAAATGTGTCATGTCTGGCTTGGTGGATGACAAGTGGCGCGAGAAGCGTGGATTATTGGCTCATAACCTTGCTGTTGAGAGGGGTACTAGCGATGGTATCAATGGCTTCCATGGCTGCCCAAGATTGATGATTGAAATTGGGTTTCTTGATTGTACCCGTCACCACATTCACGACTATGGTCACTAGAGAGCAACCTTTCTTGATGAAATTTCACGTAGAGGTGATGATTCATGTAGTGTAGCTTTTGCTTTCCTGAAAGTTTCTGGTGTTGATCCAAAGTAGCAATGTCGAGACCGAACGCTCGTCTTGGTTCCTTGCAGTTTCAGTGGGATGTCGCTCGGTCCCACGGTAGGCGCCAAAATGTTTCGGTAAATATTTTCGGGACTGAGAGACTGACCTCCTGACGTGTCTGAACCGCTTGCCTTCCTCCAATCACTTGCTTTTCTTTAGCCTGAACTGCTCGGTCACCTTCAATCTCCTTCTGTTGCCCGATCGGTATTGGTGTGAACCAATTGATCTCCTTTTGGATGAGGGAGGATGTACCTGCAAAAGGCACTCCGACGCTCAAGTTAGGCGTGTTGTTGAAGAGTTTTTGCTCTTAAGAGAATACTCAGTGAAGGATTAGCACTCTTTGAGTATTTTTAGAGTAGTAGAGGGTGAATCTAGCATATGAATAATGCGTAAGTAGAACCTACCTTTTTTGGCTCTGTCAATGTATTTATATGTGTTTCATAGATCCAATAAAAACAACCTTACCTGGAGATCCGGTTGGTTACCCAAAAACGACTTTATCAATATCTTCAACCAAATATTTTGGATTTGGTTTATCAAATATCTTTAACCAGATATCTTTAATTATTTTATCATCTCTTGGACTGTTAGCCCAATAACAACTTAAGCGCTAGCCCAATTACCATTTGGAGTAGCTTATTGGCGTCGTAGGCCCAATTGCGGTCCAAACCATTTGACCAGGCTGACCAATAATGGATAGACCGATCGGTCTTATTTCATGACCGCTCGGTCAATATTTCATACGGTGCAATAATAATAAAATATTAAAATTTTATTAAGAAAATTATTATTTTAACAACTTTTTTACAACAAAATATGTAATTGATTGTGATTAGTAATTTCAAATATACAAATCTACAAAATAATGACACCTGTTATCAAAAAATTATTAAAAAAAATTGTTAAAATATCATTATTTATTAACTCGTCGATCTCACTCTCACATAAACAAAAGCTACTATAAGACGAAAGAAAATCACATGTCCTGTCTCTGAGACCACATGCACGTCCTGTTTCTGAGACCACGTCCTGTTTCTGAAACCACTAGCATGCATCTAAAATGGAGCAGTGATATTTTGAGACAAGAATACGACCAATGACACGGTTAAATAATAATACTTTAATTATAATTATATTACTTTTTAATTTAAAATCATAATATATATTATTATATTATTAAAAGCAGTCAAATGAATGTTTTTTTTAATCCGTGTGAAACAAACTTTTTCCTTTAAAATATTAGAAATCAGAGATGCTCATATTTTCATAGTTATTATTAAAGGTGAGAATATTCTGAAGCCAGATCATTGATTCAATCATTTGGGTGCTTCATCAATGGAAAGAGATCAACCATTCCTTCACATGAACGGTGGCAAGGGAGAAATGAGTTATGCAAACAACTCCTCCATACAAGTACCATCTTTATCTTCATATAACCAGATTTAACTACATCACTAACCATTCTTTTATTTTCTTTCCTTTTCTTCTATATATTCATCTAACTTTGATTATTTCAGAGACAAATGATGCTTAATGCCAAATTCATACTAGAAGAAACAATAACAAGGCTGTGTCGTGATTCTTCTCCGAACTGCATGAAAGTAGCAGACTTAGGTTGTTCAGTTGGACCAAATACACTTCTTGTAATATCAAACATCATTAACATCGTTGATACAGCATGCACTCACTTAAACTGTGATCTACCAACATTCCAATTTTATCTCAATGATTTATATGGAAATGATTTCAATACCATTATCAAGTTACTTCCAGATTTTTAGATACAATATAAAGGAAATGGTTCATGCTTTATTAATGTCACACCTGGATCCTTCTATGGAAGACTCTTTCCCAGTAATTCCATAAACCTTTTTCATTCCTCCAACGGTCTACACTGGCTTTCTCAGGTTAGATAAGTTTACTCTCTCTTCACCTCTAAACTTTTTGATGAGTTATAGTTCACCAGAACCATTTCTGTCTTAGGTTTGTTTTTGTTTCAATTTCTCACTCTAGATACTTGAGCTTATTCATCTCATGTTTTGGTTGTAGGATCCATTATTGGGGTGTAAGGATGCAGCATCCCTTAACAAGGGTCATTGTCATATAGTTAGCACAAGCCCTCCTGAAGTACACAGAGCCTACCTTAAGCAGTATCAGCAAGACTTCAAATTGTTTCTGAAATCACGTTCTGAGGAACTTGTTCCAGGAGGAGCAATGGTGTTAATGCATCTGGGCTATCATGAAACTCCAAGAAGAACAAGTTGGGAAATAGTTAGTTTGATACTCAATGACATGCTCATGGAGGTAAACAACATTTTTTTTAATTGATTACAATTAAGTTTGTCATGATTATTGATTAATTATACCCATAAATTGTACGTAGGGTTTGATTGAAGAAGCAAAATTAGAATCGTTTAATATACCAGTGTATGAACCTACAGTTGAGGAAGTTAAGCATGTGATTCAGGAAGAAGAGTCACTGTTTCTTGAAAGATTAGAAGTTGTAATCTCGGCTTGGGATGAAGGCATGAGCATTGAAGGTGGTGATGATGATTCCTTTCATGGTGAAAATAGAAGAGCCGAAATCATTTCCAAGCACGCACGAGCAGCAATGGAGCCTCTCTTGTCAGAGAAGTTTGATACAGAGGTTATAAACGAACTATTCGTGAGGTTTCAGAATAAAATTATGCAGACAATGAAGGTTGGAAAATTAGAGAGTGCTACTTTTGTGATGTCCATTAAAAAAAGGCTTGAAGCTGTTTCTTAATAGATATCAAAAACTAGTATTTTTTTTTTGTGAATTTATTGTTTTTTGAATTTTTAAAATATTATGGAAGAAAAGAATATAATAAAGAAAATTTAAGTGAGATCTAGAAATTCAAGTGCATCAGCCTCACACCACCTTTTTTAAAAATATATGAAAAGTTTATTGTATATAAACTAAAAAACAAGAGACTAATTGTGTTTTTAACAGTAGAAAATGGAAAAGAGAAAGTGCATAGCATAATAAAAGTTGAGCAGCTGTGGATTAGTATAAACAGATTATTTTTTATCTCTCACTACGAAAACTGTCTTTTCTTGCTTCACGAATTCTTTTTACAAGACACCTTGCAATATTATAGTTATTGTTGATTCATTAAAATTTTTACACAATAAAAATTAAATATAAATCTCCCACTACTTGCTTCATTCTCAAAACAAACCAGCAGCATAATATTAATTTATAATTGTTTATATTGTTTAATTTTTTTTTCTTATCTTTTTTGTTAAAATAGTCATCAGACATTTCATAAATGTGCTATTTTTTTTCTCTTAATTATGAAAAATCACTATAAGAATGTCGGCATTTGATCTCCAATGAGATCCCAAATGGTCAAAGTCGACTCTAGCAAGATGATGTCGATCCAACTATGGTGATATAGATGATGCCAACAACTCTAATGTAAATAGAGACAAAGAGTTACTTTTTTTTTTTATTATCGTCAGCTTGACCGATGCTAAATAAAAAAATATAATAATCAATTCTCAGCATGATAATAAGAAAACTGAAAATAATATTTAATATTTAATCCATTACCGTCGATATAGCGTCAGTTTAACCCACACAAATGTCTATAATAAGAAAACTGAAAATAATATTTAATATTTTACATGCCACCCACTCAGTCTTTCTCTCCCCACGATCCCCATCACTTAAATTGGCTTATTTGATTGGTTCCCACTCTTTCATCAACTCAGTAATCCATGTATGGTCAAACTCACGTATAGCTCCAAGGAACTCGAACAAAATTTTGACGCACCTTAGCTTAGATTATAACTTACATAAATTACTTTTATTCCTTATTATTTTTTAAACTAGAATCTTAATAGGAATCTTACTTTAGTATATATCTTTAATTGAACAATTATAATGTATGGGGATGTAGCTCAGATGGTAGAGCGCTCGCTTAGCATGCGAGAGGTACGGGGATCGATACCCCGCATCTCCAATTATTTCTTTCTTAAGAATCTAAAAGATATATAATAAACATTTTACTTTTTCTATGTAAAAAAATTAATTTAGTGATATATCATGTTTTATAGATACTGTACTAAGAGGTCCGCCCGGAGAAGGAGGACGTCCGCCCGATTCGGAGTATGGAGCAGCAGCCTCTCGTTCCGCATCAGCGGAGAAAGCTGTTTCAGAAGGGTCCGCTCGGATTCAGTCGAAACAATATGTAAAAAAATAATTTTAAATTTAAGTCAACTTTATAAAATTAATTTGTGAAATAAAATTTATAGAATTGGAGTTCCAACGTTAAAAGAAAATTTTAAAGTGTTCACTTATAAAACTAGTTTTGGAATTCGTGCATCATAGATTTTGTCCATATATTGTGTGGAAAATGTTTCTTTAACAACCAACTTTTTGACAACGTCACGTGGCACGAATTGATCGGTCATTTTGAATTTTTTTTTAAAAAAGATATAATGTGTTGTTGAGGACATTTTAGGAAGTGAAAAAGGGTTTCTTGATTTCATTTGAGAAAACCCCGTGTGTTTTGCTTCTTCTTTCCTCTCGCGAATACCATAATTGCTCTTACTCTCTCTCTACCATTGCTCTCATGGGTCTCTCCAATGAAGTTCTCTCTCTCCGTCTCGTTCTTCCTCTCCCCATCACCAGCGAAGTTGGTCCAATAAGCACGGTTCTCGCTCTTTTCTTCTGTCATTTCCCCCCTTCCTGCTCTCTCTCTCTGTTTTTGTTGGAGCCATTTTCCCCTTCTCTCCTTCTTGCAATTTTGACCTCCCCCAACGTGTCAAGGTTGGTAGCACCATGAGAAAGTGCGAAGAGAACCAGTGCTGCACAAGTTAGGATTATTATAGGTTTTCAATTTATGTTAATTACATGTGTAGAGATTTTCATTGTATGAACCTTGTACAAATTTTAGTATACAAAAGATTATTATTATAGATGTTGGATAATATGTACTTATATGATATTATATGAATAAAATTTCAATTTTGATATATTTTGTCTGTGTTTTTGGGTGACATTTTACACTTTTTCAGATGGATGATTGAGTTTATTAGTCATAGGTGGTGTTTACTTAACCAATGAACAACATAAGTCATTCAATTGTTGAAAAAAATGTCCATTTAGATGGTTTGCACCAAGTTAGATGAAGTCCATGACTATTGGTGCCCATGTCATGCCCTCATAATCGATTACAGGGGTCTTGTAATCGATTACCAGAGACTTGGGGGACAATTGTACACAAAGTTCAACGTGACTCCCTAGTTGGAACAACAACACTCCCCATGATAGTTTTTGCTCTGCTTTTGTTAATTTTTTCCATTTTTTGAGATGGGTGAGTGAGTTCAATGCTATTGGGTATGTTCCCTGCATCAATGATGATGTTAGGCCATTAATTTCTTTAAAAAAATGTTCATTTAGATGGTTTTCTCCAACTAAGGTTAGGTACATGACCATTGTTGTAACACTCCTTCTTGGAGTGTCACAGGAAATTTTTTTATTTTTTTTTAATTAAGAAACATGTCATCTAATGTTGTTAGTGCACAAATTTTAAAAGGAAATTTCAATAAGTAATAGATATGTAAACAAGAGGGAAAGATATACATATAAGATAACGTGCTGTTAACTTTGACCTTTGCTGACTATTTTAATCATAATTTTTCCCACAGACCTCTAAATGTGATTTTTTTTATTAGAAACTAGACTCAAAATTCTTTCCAATGACTACTAATTTGTAATTTTTGGACATCTGAGTAGGTACAGTTAATTCCTTAAAGTTAACGTTTTACATGTCCCTGTCAACTCTGACCTTGTTGTTTTACTCTTAACTTTCTCCACCGAACTCCAAATGAGTTGATTATATTTTTGTTGGAATCTAGACTCAAAGAGCTTTCAAATGACTACTAAATCCTAATTTTTAGACTATTGTACTAGGTGCAGTTAATTTTCCAAAAACAACGTTTTTGTAAGCTTCCTAAATGGTCATAAACTTCACCTACCTTGGTTCAAACACCTATATGGATTGTTTCGTCCCTAATTGAGTAGGGCAAATTGTGTTTTGATATAATTGACACCATCAATGATAAGAAACATGGGGTATCCATGAAAAAATTGAAAAAAAATCATCTATAGGAACACAAAAACGACTTTGGGGAGTCAAGTTCTCTCAATTGGGGAGTAATGTGTAACTTTTCGTACAAATCAACAATAAGCCCTGATAACTTCAAACACTAATTAACCCAAGCTAATCTTGAAGAACCATTTCGTGCTTCATCAATGGAAAGAGAGCCTTTCCTTCATATGAATGTTGGCGACGGTGAAAGGAGTTACGCAAATAACTCCTCACTCCAGGTATTATTTATATCTTTACAAACTATTAACTATATCTTAAATATTTTTCTTCTATATTCCTTTATCTTTCAATTCCTGACAGAGAAAAATAATGCTTAAAGCCAAAGCCATGCTTCAAGAAACTATAACAAGATTGTACTGTCATTCTTCTCCAAACTGCATCAAAGTGCCAGATTTAGGTTATTCATCATTTATATATACATCTTTCCATACATTATACTCTAATTATGTCTATGTTAACTCTCCTTGCCACCACTATAAAAAAAATGTCATTATATATTCTAGATAAATTATATTTACCTACTTTTATTTATTTATGAAATTTAAATTAGTTTCTATAGATATATTTAAATTAGTTTCTATAGATATATTTAAATTAGTTTCTATAGATATATTTAAATTAGTTTCTATAGATATATTTAAATTAGTTTCTATATATATTTAAAATCTATATATATTTAAAATGTTTAACTTCATTTATTGAAACTTCATGTTGACATTTTTGTTTGATTGTTAGTGTCATCGTTACCCAAACTGGACATTTATATTTTATATATATCAATAAATTGAATTAACGATCATGCCAATATTAGACAAGGTAGCATAACTCATGTTCAATAATACACAACATTATTTGAAAATATCTTATATTATTGAACTATTCCAGAAGATGAAATTATTGAGACCTCACGGGATCAGCATTGTGTTCTACCTTGTTGATCTCATGCTCATGAGATTATAAACATGAACAATACTATAAATTTAAAATCAAAATGATTTTTTTCTATTATAACTTAAATTTAAAAAATACATGCCTTCTTTTAATTTAAAATCATTTTTATTTCTTACTATTTTTAAAATGGTCAAAATTGATCTATTTATTCAACTGATTAGAGTATTTAGAATAATTGGTTAGTTTCATTTTAATCTATATTGAAGATATATTATATATATCATTATCACTGTTTTACTAATTAAAAACTGGGGATGTAGCTCAGATGATAGAGCGCTCGCTTAGCATGCGAGAGGTACGGGGATCGATACCCCGCATCTCCATTTTTTTCAACTTTTCAGAGTCTGGTTTCTTGTTGAATTGAAAATAAATTATTAATTTTTGTGTTGGGTTATTCAAGTCTTTTAGTGGGTTATATAAGTTCTTTTTTTAGTGGGTTATTCAACTATAAAAGTAAAAATGAAAAAAGTAAACATTATATAAAAATAAAAACTTATAATTTGAGTGTTTTAAAGTTTTTGGTCGAGGTGTATTGAACTTTTGTGCGAGTTGAGTTCATGTTTCTTTCCTGGATCCTTCTATAAAAGACTATCAAATCTATTCAAATAAGTCAATGTCTCAAAAGTTGTATTGGCAGAAATTTAAATGTAGGCCCGCCCATCTTGATCCAAGTTGGTCCA